TTTAAAAATTATTCAAGAGGTTAGGCTACTGTGTATGAATATTTCTGAGGTAAAAGTTATTTCTTCTTGGGAGCTTTAGATCAATCTATTTCATCAGGATGTGTATCCCATAGATACATTCATATGGAGAAACTAATGTAAAATGTATTGTTGTTCTGGGTTTGGAGGCATTGTGTTTCATTTTGGGCTTTTAGGCCTGCTAATTTTGTTAACATCAATTCAAAAGGAATTATTCGGTATGGCAGGGTTTTTTTTTTTTTCTTAAACAATTTGCCACTCAGATTCCTAGTCCTTGGATACTGAAGGATAACACAGAAGACAATAATGCTATTCACAAGAGATATTGAAATTGACAGAGAATAATAGTAAAGAAATAAGCCTGACTTTTATACCTATGGACTCTAAAACCTAGGTTGTTTTCCAGCCTAATTCTTGACCTTCAGAAATAGTAACTGTCCTTTAGAAAAACTATTCCGTTTGTGACTATATGGTTACTCCAGATCTCCCTGGAATGTCCTCTTTTAGAGAAGAGGATAAATGTGACCTTTCTAACAGTCATTGCTTTCAAGCCTAAGAGAAAGAAATAATAGCAGATTTTGTTTGTTTGTTTGTTTTTTAAACAGTTGCAAGTTCTCTCTCATACTCAAAACTGGCAATGTGTTTCATTTTCTTTTCAAGATTTTAGCTTTCTCTTACGTAGCAGAAATCACACCTGTTTCCAAAGCAGTGCAGTGTATCATTAGTGTTTATAATGTAATTGCTACATTTTACAAATTTCTCCACAGTCAACAAGGCTAATGTTAATTCAAGGGTGGGTTGCTTTCATCAAAACTACCTTTTAAAGCAGCCAGGAAGTGTCTGCTTTTCAATGTGTTTGTCCTTGTATTGCCATTTAACACTGTTTAGGTCTCTTATGTTTTTGGGAGGGTTTTGTTTTTGGTGGTTGTGGTAATACCTGATATAAACTCTGTTACAGTCCAGTCCTACTATTCCTGCATCAGCAAGGATGTCTCTCCCCAGTATTCTCTTTCATTCTGGTAAATTTTGGCTTGTAGAAGAAAATCCCATCAGAATGAGAAAGAACGTCTTGGGTATTCCCTCCTTAAAACAATACAGAATGAGAAGAGTGATAAAAATAACAAGGGGGGAGGGGAAGGTAGCTAAACATCTACCAAAGCAAGTTGAACCAAGCCAGCAGAAAAGCTCTTTAGAAATGTGTGATGCTTCCATTTAAGAAAATAAACAAATCTGAATAAGTTAGTGAAATAATGCTAATGCCGACCAACATCGCTTCTAATTATAGCCTAATTTTTCTCCCCTTTCATCCTTTCTTTAGGGGCAAGAGCTAATTTGTCTTATGATTTTTGTAATACACACACCACATTGTGGGTACTACTGAAGTCTAAATTATATAGATGTAATTAAAAAATGATTCTTCCAGATAGGAAAAAAATATGCTTGCTACTTTTTGCAGACTATTTCACTGTTATTTTTAATGAAAATCATATCTGATGTTTGTCTCCAGGAAGGAACGAATCATCATACCATTCTTGAGGGAGGCTTGTGTAGCAAGACTCAAGCTTTAGTAAGAAGAAATGTTATAAATCAGGGCCACTTGCTCCAGGTACTTTATTGCAAAAGCCTTAGAGACTATCTGGTGAGGTTATGTATTAGGATGAGTCATGGAGAGAAACAGTTGCAAAAATGGATGAGAAATCATTGAGGGAAAAGTTGTTTTGAAGTGGATTTAGTCTTGGATATGGAGTCAGTGTAGAACATGAAGCAACAATGATCCCATGTCTGTCTTAACTAAGTAGATGTTAGGGGTGTGTGTGTGTGTGTGTGTGTGTGTGTGTGTGTGTGTGTGTGTTAAACCACTGGGGTTTTCCATATGGTCTTTGGAGTTTGTTCCAGGTTCAAGATGTGAGGAATTAGTAAGGAATAGCTATTTGGGAGAACATGAGACTATCTTTCCTGCTACAAACTGAAAATTCATCTAGCCAAGTATCCCCTCCCTAAGGCAATACCTGGTAGCAGATACCTAGGAAAGAATCTTAGAATTTGTGATTGGTGTCTTTTACCACAGCATTTTTGTAGCCTCCAGCAATTTGTGGCTGAAGAAATTCCTGAGGCAGAAGTAGTTCTTAAATGAAAAGATATCGTCAATGATTTTTCATATTGCACTTTTTTTTCTTTCTGAATCCATGCAAATTTTAGCATCCATAGTATGCTTCCTCGGCTGTATTTTAAGTGAAAGGTATATGTGCACGCACGCACGTGCGTGCACACCCACACAGCAGCAAGCCATGTTGTCTCCAATTGTCTGGGCACATCCTAGTAGTTAGATACAGTAGAACTCCAATTCTATGTACCTCTGTGGACTGAAGTCATTAATAAAGCCAGTTTGTGGAGCTCTTCTGTCAGCATTTGTTGTGTTTTATCATGAGACAACTGGTATTATGAGTTTCTTATTCCTTGTATGCGTGGTGATAGTAGACCACGTAGAGATTTTAAAAAGGGATTTTGTCTATTACGGTCACTGATGCCACTGATCCCTGGTCACTTAACACCTTATATGGAAGTAAAAAAGGATGGAAGGAAGGATAAAGTACAGACCTAGAGAACCTCACATGAAAGCATTCTCAGAGAGAAAAACAACTTGAATGTATCTTTGGCTTAGGAAAGACTGTTTGGAATTATCAGCACTAAAGTAAACTAAATTACCCATGCAAGATGGGTAAATTACTTTGCAAGATGACAAAATGAGTCATCTGCACACTGTGATCGACTCAAACTGCTGAAGTATTTGGCACACCTGGTATTGTTTCCTGTCTCCAGCAATTTAGTCATCTATCGAGGTGTCCAAGATGTCTGCTTGTGGTAAGAGGCACAGAGTTTTAGTGGGAAGGCTGGGCAGGGTTAGTTAGCTACCAGCTCTAGCCCAGTGTCTTGCTCCAAAGAGTGGAGCTCAGAGGCAGAACAGTAGCAAATACGCTAGGAAGTGCTCGTATTGGAGATGTATAGTTGACAGGCCTTTGATCAGGCCTTTGAGCCTATTTTATTTAGCTAGACTTTACAGTTTAGGAGTTTTCATGCCTCTCCCAAATCTATTTCTCACACAAAGACTGTTTTCTTCTGTATTCTCCTTCCCTCCATTTTTATTATTTACTAGTTAGCTTAATATTTCATCAATATAGATTCCATTATGATCTTTCAGTATTATGTAACTTGCTCCTCTTTAACATATTATTTGATGTCCTAGATAATATTTAAGACTACACAAAAGTAATATAGATTTAACTTTGAAAAAATGGTGTCACTTCTATATATATTACTGTCAAAGTTTTTAGATTTATTTGAATGGTGAAATCTGTCAGAAGACTAGTGACATATCTGCTCTGCTGTGATTACCTGGAAAGGAAACAAACCTTAGAAATCAAAACAGAAATCATCCTTTGCCCTCCTTCAAAACTTTCCTGATAATGTAGTCAGGAAATCAAGCAGAAAGAGTCACTTAAATGCAAACTCCTTAGGGAGAAGGAAATTGCAAGTTCTAGCAATGTGAAAATGAGAAGTAAAAATGAGTGGGTTGAAGCTTGTTTCATATGCTGGTATTCTTTCATTTACATGTCAGATGAAAGTTACCAAAACAACATAATTTCCCATTTTCAATTTCCCTTTTTTTTTTTTTTTTTAAGACTTGGATGTATGTTATCTGAATGCTGATATTGCACACAGTTCTTTAAAGGATATTTGTTAGATGGAATGGTTGTCCCAGGAACATTGCATAATGAAAGTGGCAGAGTATATGTGTCTTCAACTAAGCTAAATATTGTCAAATCTCAGGAGAAAAATATTTAAGTATAATAAAGATTTGATTGTAATCCAGGAAATGCACGCTTTTCTCTCTCTATACTTCAATAAGACGCTCAGCTACTGCAATTTCCTTGCTACTTCATTGCTGATAGTCTTATTCAGGGCTAAACAAACTCTCATGCCGGTGTTGAGCTGATAGAGAAAGGCAGTAGCTTGTGATAGAGAAAGATGTTTTAAACACTTAGAATTTTATTCCACATTATGTCCAAACTTTGTTCCAGTATAGTGGAGATAAAACTGTAATGCCACGAAAGGTTAAAAGCTACTGAAGGCTCTTGTCCCTGAGTATTCCTGACGCACACTGTTTATGTTGACAACTCCCTCCGCTCTTAGTGTAAAAACTGGTATCTGTCACTGGCAACTGCTGTTTGAATTCTCAGATCGCAGTGCTGCTCATCTTCCTTGTGCGAGAAATATTGGTGGGCTGTATTTGGTTGCCTGTATTTCATACTGATGACTCTGAATCTCTTGATTGCAACAATTTCATATGTTGTTCTCACCAAACATAAAAGATCCAATGTGTTTGCAGATTGTTTTAACTATAACTCATTTCATTCAAGCTTTCTCCTTTTGCATGAGAAACTGTCAATTTTATGTGACATCACAAATCACACGTTGTCTAAAAATTGTTCTGAACTGAGTGCATGTGTTGTCTGGACACTGGAATTACAACTTTGCATTCTGAGTGTAACTTAGTGCTTTTGAAAATAGAAAGGCAGTGTGGTTTGAGTACTAATGATGGCACTGACAGCAACTCCTCATGTGGTCCTGGGGAAATAGTTGGAAATAAATTTGTAAGATCTTTGATTCTGAAAGCTTTGTATGTCCAGATTTGTTTACAACCCTTAGGGGCTGCTCTTAACACTATTGTTCTAAATCATCAGCTTGTGGTGTTGCTAGGCATCATTACTTTTCATTATAAGAATTTGGAAGACTCTTGTAAGAAATAACTTTTGTGCTCTGAATATGCAACATATATGGATATCTAAAATAGTATGCAAGCATTTGCATGTCACTCCTATGTTATGGGAACATTTTAAAAATGGATGAATGAATGTTGGTGATAGACCTTTTTTTTTTACTTTTTTCTAACAAATAATTTCTTTTATTTTCTCGTATTTCAGATAATGGAGGGCAGACTTTGGCAGGTGGAAATAACTGGCCACTGAGAGGAAGAAAATGGACCCTGTGGGAAGGAGGAGTGAGAGGAGTAGGTTTTGTTGCAAGCCCTTTACTGAAACAGAAAGGGGTAGAAAGTCACGAACTTATCCATATCTCTGACTGGCTGCCAACGCTGGTGCACCTTGCTGGAGGACATACCAATGGCACTAAGCCGCTGGATGGCTTTGATGTTTGGAAAACTATCAGGTAACTTGCATGCCAAATGACAGAGTCGGAATTCTAGTATGAAAAGAATTTAATGAGCCTAGAGAACAGAGCTGGAATAGGGAGGAAAGTGTAAATGTTCCTTTCCTTAAATAAAAGGAAGGTATAAGCACAGTTAACTTTGTTACCCATGAGAGAATTATCCAGGCTATAGATTAATACTGGTTAAAGATGCAAAATCTCCGTATAGGATTAGCTTGAGTTTGAGTTTATCAGCACAGTCGCAGCATTGCTCAAACATGATGTACTGCCTCAAGAGTCCCCCATGATCCAGAAGTACATTAGCTGATTTTGCACGCCATAGAGTACAAAGTAGTAAATTTTATGGACCCAGACCTGCTTTCTACAGAGCCAAACTGGTATCTCTGCAGTGTGCTTCTGGAATTGGACACATGAGAAGTCTGTGCAGACGTTAAACTAGCTGAGTGTGAATTCAGCTTTGATTCAACAGAGTTTGTTTAGCTCAGTACAGGACCTGTCACTGGCTCAAAGTATAACCATTTGGATAGGTCTGTAGCATAATGCCCAGTGTACCCATGCTCTCAGAAAGCCTATGAGGTTGGAGGCAACACTATACCTGACTTGGTTTAAGGAAGCTGGAGTGCTCAGGAGCGCAGTGCGGAGATGCCTAGAATGCTGTATAGGAGACAGCTCAGCTCCAGTGCAGTTGGCACTGAGACCAAGCTGATGAATCTTACTGGGCTCTTTCTGATTCTGTACGCTTATTACTGTCTGTGTTAACTGGGATATCCAAACCCTATTAGCTCAGATAATGTTTAGATACTGCCTAGCTTGTTTGCTTGGTGCTATCTCTGTTTCTGAGGAGCTAGGCTGCAAAGTTCTGTGCTAGTTAGAGTGTTAGAGCTCATGGCTTTGTGTCTAGGTGTATTGCAAGACTCTTTTCCAAGTGGAAGAAGATACGGATGTATATAAATGAACTGGGGGTCCTTAACTGCCAGAAAGGAATGGAGTCTCCTGTCCAGCCAGAGAGAGTAAAATATTTCACATGTTGATGTTATTGTGGGAGAATTTAGCGTCCGCAAGATCCCAGCATACCCCTATACCATAGACTAACTTTTCTTCTAGCTTCCAGCAGAATGCCTGTCTGCTGCAGATTCAGTTTCAGTGAGGTATTCTTGTCATGAACCAGTCTTCTCAGATGGGGTTACTTTAGTGGTAAAATTATACATAGGGAAAG